AAGGATTGTGGTCAAAGGGGTCAAGAAAAGGAATAAAGTTTTGGATAGAGAGGTTAACCATAAACTTGGTAAGGGAATGTACTTTGGAGGGGCTCAGTTTCATGAGAAAAGCAACCCCCCCCCATACTAGGTGATGGGGAGCCAGCTGTGAGATGAATCTTCACAAACAAACATTACTTTAGCAATCCTTATCTTCCATTAGTTTCCCCCTTATATTTACTTTCCCACGATTTATTACTTAAAGAAGCTCAAACCCCTTTTGTCTTGCTACATCTCCAAAATTTATCACTCCCTGTTAAGAAATGGTATATAAGCCCTCAGGCTTAATGGCTTTTTGGGTGTTTTCATGTCATTTCTGTGAGGTCCCTCCCATCCATATGAAATAAACCTTTTTCTGTTGTTAATCTGTCATTTGTCAGTTTAAACTGTAGGGCCTCGGTCAATGAACCTAAGAGGTTAGAGGAAAAAGCCTTTTCCTTCCTTACACCGTCTTTGTCCACATCACCAATCATTTCCTTTGCAATTGCTTGGCACATTTTGACCTGATACTTATTGCCAAGTGTATTTAAAACTGTAGACATATTCATGCCGACTAACAAGGTATGTTTAAGCATTCTGTTGCGCCTGATTGTTTTCTTAGACCCAAATCCCACCGCCTTGTGAAGTCTTTTACTTCCACTCACCATCATCTCTTTCCCTTTTGTGAAATCTTTTCCACCTAGGGTCTGCAGTACTTTGTAGCTGAGCATTTCGCTGTTTTCTTGTTCCTTTCTTTTTTTGGTTGTGCCGCGTGGCTTGTAGGATCCTAGTGTCCCTACCAGGGACAAACCTGGCCCTGGGAGTAAAAGTGCCCAGTCCTAACCACTGGACCTCCAGCGAATTCCCATTGTTTATTCATTAGAAAAAGAAGAAGAAAGAAAAATGTCAGCTTGTGTTTGTGTCTGGTCTTATGTATGGAAGTGAAAATGCAAATACTAATTAGATCAAGTTACCACTTTCCTGGGCTTCCCTCATAGCTCAGTTGGTAAAGAATCCGCCTGCAATGCAAGAGACCCCGGTTTGATGCCTGGGTCAGGAAGATCCGCTGAAGAAGGGATAGGCTGAACACTCCAGTATTCTTGGGCTTCCCTACTGGCTCAGTTAGTAAAGAATCCCCCTGCAATGTGGGAGACCTGGGTTTAATCCCTGGGCTGGGAAGATCCCCTGAAGAAGGGAAAGGCTACCCACTCCAGTATTCTGGCCTGGAGAATTCCATGGACTGCGTAGTCCATGGGGTCACAAACAGTCAGACACGACTGAGCAACTTTCACTTTCACCACTTTTCAGGAGCTCACAGTCCAGTGGACACCTGAATCTCGCAGTTAAATGAATCTTGTGAGTAGTGGGGTGGGATGGGGATTTTAAAAATGGATATAATTAGTCTCCTGCTAATAGTCTGACAGAAAAGCACAGCAAGTGATATCTGTTTATGGGTCTCTGGCACTAACTAACAAGAGGTGCTCAAATTCACATTTCCCCACCTCCCCCAAAATGAGGGGATGTAATTATAAAAGCAGAGTAAGTTTCCAAACTAAAAGTACCATGGCTTATTCATTCCAGCAGCTAGAGCATTTGGCCCACATAGAAGGCACTCAGGAACTGAATAAACACATGGATGGATGAAAACAGCTGACTGCAAGCAAGGAAAAACTTAAATTTTAAGTACAATTTCCTTATACCTATAAAGGGCAGATCTTGAAGTTGCCTTTGTTGTGATGAGGAGGTGGTGAAGATTTGGGAGAAGTTCATAGGGAATGAAATGCCCTCTGGACTTCCCAGGTGGCACTAGTAGTAAAGAACCCACCTGCCAATACAGGAGACATAAGAGGAGCAGGTTCGATTCCTGGGTTGGGACGATCCCCTGGAGGAGGACATGACAACCCACTCCAGTATTCTTGCCTGGAGAATCCCATGGATAGAGAAGCCTGGAAGCTGCAGTCCATAGGGTTGCAAAGAGTCGGAAAGGACTGAAGTGACTTAGCACTCACACACAAAAAGTTCTCTATTATAAAGGAAAGAAAAACTCAGGGAGACAGCTAGGAAGTGGGGGAGGAAGACTTTTTGAAAAGAGTAGAGCATGGTTTGGAGAGGAAAAGAGAGATGTGGCAGAGAAGAGCAGGGGGAGAAATATGTTTCAAGACTTTAAGAAATCTTGTATAATTTGTGATCTCAAGAAAACACTGGTAAAAAACAATGTGTTCTTCTGTGTCCTTGAGTCTGGTCAGGACTTGTCTTTTGAATGTGGCAAGATACCACTATCAAGCCGGGTCCAGGGTGAGAGCTGGGACAGTGTGGGAGGCCTAGGGTCATTCGTGTTCACACGCACTTTGTGCTGAATCACAGCTGTGATTTGGTAGCCCGAGGAAGAAGGCGGGGAACACGAATGCCTTGTGGAATTACAGCGGTGGCAGGAATGATTTCATCTGGCTCCAGAAGTCAGCTGTGGGTAAGTAGTGATTCTCAGTCCATTTGGTTTGTCCAATGCCCAGCACCTAACAGGAGGTTGGAAAGTACGTGCGACTGATTGAATCGTACAGAATAAAGGAGTGGGCGGATTATAGCAATCGGCGAAGTGGCGATTATTATCCCACTGTAGAGATGAAGACACTGAGGCCTGAAGGTGACCGAATCCAAGCCTCTTGGAGAGCAGGGCGGAGCCAATACCTGCTCCGGCTCTGGCTCCCGCTGGTCCCGCCCCTCGCCATCGGCGCTCCAACCCCGCCCCCACACTTCCGGATCCTGCTCCACCCCCATAGAGCACTTCCGGCCCTGGGGCTAGACCCCGGGTCGCCGAATGGTTAGACGGTATGTTGGCGCCGTGAGGGCCTGCAGAGCCACAGGGCCATTGGCTCAGGGGCAGCGGGCCCAGGCAGCAGCGGGCTCTTATTTTCTCGGGCATTACGCGACAGCCGTTTCTCTGAGGAAAGCCTGGGGCCTTGGCCTGCGGGTGACGTCACTTCCGGCGCCGGTCTGGCAGGCGACGGCGGGGAAAGGCCTCGAGCTCCGTTTGGTGGCGGGGAGGTGTCAAGGCGGGTCGGCTTTGTATTTACGAATTTCTGGAGCTCAGGGTAGTTTAGGAGAGGCGGTGTTCCAAGTGGAGTTGTTGGATTTGGCAAATAAAAATGCAGGGAGTCTAGTTAAACTTGAATTTTAACTAGATGAACACTTTTTTAGTATAGATATAGCCCAAATATTGTACGGAACATATTTAGTTTTTAACAATTTCTAATTTATTTGAAATTGAAGTTTGATTGGACGTTCTGTATTTTATCTGGCCGCCTTAGTCTTGGGTGCCCCCTGCCTTGGGTTCTGCTATCCATTGGCAACGCTGGTATTCTCTAGGCCTGTTATCTATCGGGGGGAACAGGTACAAATTTCGTCCAGACCGTCAAAATCAGCTATTGCTACGTGCTAAGCCACTTTTATAGCCAGTGCTCTTTGGCCAGCCCCAGCAATAGCTGGGGCCCGTTTTGAATCCCCATGGTACCTCCCTCTGTGTTTTCCCGTTCACAGCTGGAGTTAGGAACGGTTTGTCTTCTTTTAATGGGAAAGTTGAGCTCCATGCAGGCTAAGTGATCCCAGGCTGGACGTTGCCAGGTTTTTTTTTTTTTTTTTTGGTGTAGGATAAAGCAATGTTTGCAGTCGAGGTTTTCAGTGTTAACAATGGACAGCTTCAGAGAGCCCAGGGATGTCAAAGGAAGAGCATTAGTCTCATCTCACCTCTCATTTTGCACAGGAGACCCAGTGAGAGAAATGGAGCTGTCCCTGTGGTAGAGCTGGAGCCTGATTCTCCTGCTGTGTCCACACTTGCTGCTGCAGTCAGCATGTATGGTGGGGATTTATTAATTTATAACTATAAAATAAATTTATAATTTATTAAAGTAACGCCTTGTTAGAGATGAGCTCTTTAGCACTTTATTGTCCCTAAACTACTCCGCAACCTCTTGGCCTTCACCTCAGGTCTTCTTTGGCCTTTACTGTGCCCAGTGGGGAAAATGATTATTTGGCCTCAGTGGTAGAAGCCTGTCCTTTGCCTGCTTCAGCCACGCGGCTCTCACCCCTGTAGGTGGTGTGATCCAAGATTTGTTATGTCAGAGCAAAAGGCATGTTCTTGGCAGCGGTGGGTCTGGCCTTGTAGGTGGAAGGGCATACTTTTTGTCCTGCAGGTTGGGCCCCGTTGTACCTGGGATCATGTGGTGTCTAAGGACTTTTTTAAGCTTCTACTGTGAATCAAAGTTGAACCTGAAGCTGTTGCTGGGCTGGCCTGGAGTGTGGGATTCTTCAGGCTTTGTGCCCCAAGGATGTGCCTGGACCTGCTTGTCAGTGTCCCGGCAAATCTACAGCCTCCCTGCACAGACTTAGTCTTTCCAGGCTCCCCAGCCCAGGCCTGTGAGATAATGAAACAGAGCAGCCTGGAGGTCACTGGGCTCCAGGTCAGTTGGTGGGATAGCCAGCAGCTTTGTCGCAACTTAAGTAAAGAGGTAAAGAGGCAAGGAAGGAGTGCCAGAAAGGGGTGTTGCCCTGGGCAAGGCTCAGAAGTGCAGGAGGTGGAAAGGGGCCGGATGGAAGCCCACGGATAGTAATTTCTTCCTCTGTGAATGATTAACTCTCAGCTGAAGGAGGGGGTCTAGGAGGAGGGCTCTGCTAACAGGACCTCTGGACTCTGGGCAAGGTGTCCAGAGAGCTGGCGCGTGGCCTACAGAAGAGGAGGATGTGGTTGGTTAGACTGCAGGCCTGGGCTCAGAAGACTGGAGTGAGATCAGACAGCTGTGGACCTTAGGGAATCTCCTGGGTCTGGCCGATGGCCCATTCCTGCAGCAGCTGTGGGGTCCACTGGCCCTGAGCCCACAGAGCTGTGGCTCTAAGGGAAGCCTCCTGTCTCTGGCTTTGCAGCGGTCTAACCAGTGCTTTCTTCCTCCTAGGCAGCCATGGACACCAAGTGGTGCTGAGAGCAGTGGGGCATGGCTGCAGCCCTGCAGGTCCTGCGTCACTTGGCCAGAGCCCCCTTGGGCCCACTCCTCTGGGGGGGCCCGTTGGCCCGCCTGGCCAGTAGCATGGCTCTGGCAGAGCAGGCACGGCAGCTGTTTGAGAGCACTGTGGGTGCAGTGCTGCCCGGCCCCATGCTGCAGCGGGTCCTGTCCTTGGACCCCGACAGCGGAGAGCTGAAGGTGCGGGACCGGAGCTTTCAGCTGCGGCAGAACGTCTACCTGGTGGGCTTTGGCAAGGCTGTGCTGGGCATGGCAACTGCAGCCGAGGAGCTCCTGGGCCAGCATCTTGTGCAGGGCGTGATCAGCGTTCCCAAGGGGATCCGTGCAGCCATGGAGCATGCTGGCAAGCAGTAAGGAACCTGGGGGTGCTGTTCTCGTCTGGAGGGGAACCTGGGCCCAGGTTCAGGCTGAATCGGGGCCTCCTTCCTTCACCAGCTTCCAGTTTCTTCTGGGAGTGGCCTGGCTCCAGGGTGGGTGTCAGTGGGCGTCCTTGTTCACATCCCCTTCACCTGTACATCTGAGAAACCAGGCGGGACACAGAGCCCACTGCATCTCTGGCTCTCCCTTCTCTCTCCCCTGAGGGAGATGCTGCTGAAGCCACACAGCCGCATCCAGGTATTTGAGGGTGCGGAGGACAACCTGCCGGACCGGGACGCTCTGCGGGCTGCTCTGGCCATCAGGCAGCTGGCCGAAGGCCTCACCGCTGATGACCTGCTGCTCGTGCTCATCTCAGGTGAGGGTGCCACATTGGCTCAGGACTCTGTGTGTGTGTGTGTGTGTGTGCGGCAACGGGGAGGTTTCCCAGTATCAGGTGTGCAAGGAACCGTTGGTTGGAGCCCTCAAGGTCACAGATTAGAGGCAGTAAAGATTTGGGTGACTGACTCCTTGGTGGCCTCCCCTGAGCTGTGGGGCCCTCCACTTGACTGACCTTGTCAGATAACTGTGAGCGGGCACACAGGGAGGTCTTTCAAGGAAAACATCTCTGTTGCTGCTGCTGTTGGCACCATTGTCACCTGGGGATAGAACCCCGGTTTCCAGCTCCCTGAGCCCCCTCCCTAGTTTTCTGCTGTGTCCTCCAGGTCTGTTTCCTTTTCCAAGGTCTTAAGGAATAGTTCTTCCAGTGTCTTCTGGGACCTGGGCTACCCCAAGGCAGAGTTCAACCTCAGGTGCCTTGGTTGTGGGGACTGTGTGGGCATTCACTGTATGTCCACACGGGGGCACCCTAACCCCTCTTTCTAGCATCCACATCCCTAAGTGAGCACTGCCTGCCGGCTCCCCAGGTTGGGAAGTCCCAGTGCCATCCATCCCTCTGCCCAAAGCCTTCATTGTCTCTGTAGGGGGTGGCTCAGCCCTCCTGCCCGCCCCCATCCCACCTGTCACTCTGGAGGAGAAGCAGACACTAACCAAGCTGCTGGCGGCCCGGGGAGCCACAATCCAGGAGCTGAACACCATCCGGAAGGCCCTGTCCCAGCTCAAGGGCGGGGGGCTGGCTCAGGCCGCCTACCCTGCTCAGGTGCGTGGGGCCCTTCTTCGCCAGGCAGTCCAGGGCTGGTGGAACCAGGCCCACATGTGCCAGGGAGATGAAGGGCAGAGGCCTGGTGTGGGAGTCCACAAGGCTAGGTGTTTTGCACACCCACTTGAGAGGGGTTAGAAGTGGGCGAGGAAGTGCATTGGGTGGTGTGAAGACATGTGGCTAGATGAAGGCAGTTTGTCCTCTCGGGCCCTGGGGCAAGGATCAGGTGGGGCTGAGCCTTGCCTCTGCCACCCCTCCCCAGGTGGTGAGCCTCATTCTGTCAGACGTGGTGGGGGACCCCATGGAGGTGATTGCCAGTGGCCCCACTGTGGCCAGCACCCACAGCGTGCAAGACTGCCTGCACATCCTCAATCGCTATGGCCTTCGCGCTGCCCTGCCACGCTCTGTGAAGACTGTGCTGGCCCGAGCCGACTCTGACCCTCACGGGCCACACACCTGTGGTCACGTCCTCAATGTGATCCTTGGCTCCAACGCACTGGCACTGGCTGAGGCTCAGAAGCAGGCTGAGGTGCTGGGATACAGGGCTGTGGTGCTGAGCACAGCCATACAGGGTGATGTGAAAAGTGTGGCCCAGTTCTACGGGATGCTGGCCCGAGTCGCTGGAGCCCGCCTTGCCCTGCCTGGCACTGGAGCGTCTGTGGAGGAGGATGACCGACTCTGTGAACTTGCTGCTGACCTCCAGCTCCCAGATCTGCAGCTGAAGGAGGCTCTGGAGGCTGTGGTGGGCGCTCAGGGCCCAGTCTGCCTGCTGGCTGGTGGCGAGCCCACGGTGCAGTTGCAGGGCTCAGGCAAGGGTGGCCGCAACCAGGAGCTGGCCCTGCGTGTTGGAGCGGAGCTGGGACAGTGGCCACTGCGGACTGTGGACGTGCTGTTTTTGAGCGGCGGCACTGATGGGCAGGATGGGCCCACGGAGGCAGCCGGGGCCTGGGTCAGGCCTGAGCTCACCAGCCAGGCCGCCGCCGAGGGTCTGGACGTGGCCACCTTCCTAGCCCACAATGACTCACATACCTTCTTCTGTCGCTTCCAGGGTGGGGCACACCTGCTGCACACGGGGCTGACCGGCACCAACGTCATGGATGCCCACTTCCTGTTCCTGCAGCCGCAGTGATGCTGTAGGTGTAGGTCATGTTTTGGGGAACCTAGAAGAGGCCTGCAGGGCAGGGTCCTGGAACAGACCAGGTTTGGTCCCCAGGGCCTGACCAGGCTTTAGGGCCCCGTCTCCCTTGGCCGTGGCCACTTGGTTGGCCCTTACACCTCCCAACCAGGGCTCCCTCTGTGTCCAGTTTCACACTGGCCAGGCAGATGGGGGCTCTCTTCCACCCCTACTTTCAGCCATGGGTACCCCAGAGGACCAGGACAGGCCCCTGGGCCAGTTCGCTGTTCCTAGTCTTCTCCCACAGGCAGCCCCTCTGCTCAGCTCCCAAGCCTGTTTCTTCTGCGGGGTGAAGCAAGAAGGACTGAAAATAAAAAGGACCACACTCTGGGTTCTCAGCGCGTCTTCTCTCAGAGCACAGATCGGCAGGGGGCTGCCGTGAGCGGAGTGGTGGCCGCCAGCGGCCTCTGCACCGGGGCCCTGCAGGAGTTCGCTGTCCCGTCTCTGCAGGGCACTCGGTTCACCTAAACAGGAGCCTGGGAGGGTTGAGCCTGGCGTGCTTGATGTGGGTGAGCAGAGATCCCAGGGAGGACAGGCCTAAGGACATTAATCTAGCTGTCACTCCCCGCTGTGGCATCCCTGCTGAGGTGTCTCCTCACTCTGCATGTGCTTGCTGCCTGCCCCACCAAGGACTTCCCTCCCTTCTGTCTTTGGACAGTCCTTAGCCAGACTGTACCTTCTTTTCTTGAGCTGCCTCCTTTTTCCAGGGGCTATCCCCAGCCACACAGGACACTGGCTCTTGTTTCCTCCTGCCAGGCCCTTTTTCCCAGCCGAACCGCCCCCCGCCCCCAACCAGATCCTTCAGCCATTCTTCTGGGGACACCGTCTGGGTCCTGGTGCCAACCTGCGGTGGAGGGGGGTGGGTCTCCAGTGCTGGGATCCAGCAGCCCTCCCCTGTTCCAGCTGGCCGGGGAGGGGAGCCCAGGGGAGGGGCTCCTTTGGCCAGACTAACAGCCTGCGTTGGGAGACGGGGGCCGCTGTCCCGGTCTCCTTGGACCTCTCCGTTGAGTGTCCGAGCCCGCCGCTGGCTGCCCCCGCCGTGCGCCACGGCTCCAATCCCTATATGAGTGAGCAGTAGAATCACATAGGAATAAAAAGCCATAGAGAACAGCGAGGCCTGGGGCTGCTCCTGCTGGCCCCCACCCCACCCCAGCCACGCCCTCCCCTCTGAGGCTGTGAGGGACTCGGGGCCAGGGCTGGCATGCCCTGCCTCTGGGAAGAGCCTCCTTCCGTCCAGACTGCAGCGTGCAGATGGTTCCTGGTGGGCTGGGGACGGGCAGGGAGGTGAGCTGGGTTCTGGGGGCCAGGGGGATTTAGGGGAGAGGGGAAATGGCACCTCTCTGTGATGCTGGGTCTCCACTTCCTTCTGTCCCGGCAGGAGGGTCCTTCTGGCTGGGGCGGGGCAGGGGTAGGGTCATAGTCTTGCGGAGTACTGTCCTCACACGGCCGAGCCTGTGCCCAGGCGCTCCTCCAGCACCCTCTAGACATGCCCTGGCCCCATTTCAGTCCTCCCTGTGAGGCACGAGTGTTAGCACTGGGCACCAAGTTCCCTGCAAGGGCAGAACGAAGGCTGGGGCTGTGGCCGAGGACCCGTCCGCCGTGTTGCCCAGCGTGTGCAGGAGTGTGCGCGCGCGTGCGCGTGTGGTAGCATGCAAGCGTGCTGGTGTTGGTGCTGGCATCCCAGGAGGAGCACATCTGTGTGTATGCACAGACATCCTCAGCACAGGCGGTCCTGCTCCCTGGACTCATGGCTGCTTACTCGCCTGCTGAGGGGGTTGAGTGTGGGTGGGGTCTAGCCAGAAGTACCCCCCGTGTCACCTCCTTGGCCCCTGCCCTGAGCCTGTGTTTGTGGGGGCTGGGAGGCCAGAGGCTGGGTTGGGCCTAAGCCATTAGATTTGCCCATTTGGTAACCCCTAGATGAGAAAGGATATATTTGACTGCAATCTAGATGAAAATGTGAAATAAAGCCTACACGGTGAGTGTTCTGTAGGACTTATTATCTGTTCCATAAACCTTAATTATGGGCCGTAATAACCGCTCCCATCCCTGGCTCTTGGCTTCCATCCTTCTCCGCTCCTGTTCTTGCTGTCCTCTTGCCGCCCTCCTCTCCGTCCCCAGAAGCTTTCCCTGGCTGCTGCCCTCACAGGCCCTTCCATTGCCTGCACTTAGCATGAGCCGAGAGCGACTGGGCAATGGGCCTGGCCAGCCTTTAGATGTCTGCTAACCCAAATCCCTTTGTTTTATAAAAGCTGGTGAAACAGAGAGGGAAGGTGGCTTGTCTGGGGAAGCACAGCAAGTCTGCCACAGAGCCAGAATGGGAACCTGCTTGGGACTTTCCTGACTATCCTTTGCCCACCCTCTGGGGCTCAGAGACCCTGGGGCCTGGTGAGGGTTCGGCCAGAGCCCAAGGTCCGCTCCTGCTTCCCCGCCAGGGGCTTGGGGATGATGACATGATCACACTTGGTCCATCTGTGTGTGTGCTAAGTTGCTTTAGTCATGTACGACTCTTTATGACCCTATGGACTATAGCCGGCCAGGCTCCTCTGTCCATGGGCTTCTCTAGGCAAGATAACGAGTGGGCTGCCATTTCCTACTCCAGGGGATCTTCCTGACCGAAATCGAACCCATGTCTCTTATGTCTCCTGCGTTGGCAGGCGAGTTCTTTACCACTTGGTCCGTCTAGGGGTCCTTAGAACAGACTTGTCAGCCCCTCTTGGCTTAGATTCCACAGCTCCTTTGTGTGTGTGATTTGGCAGAAAGCCACACGCAGTTGAGTGGTGGGCTTCTACACAAAGGTGTGTCTGCATCTGTGTGCACAGCTGTGTGTGTGCGGTCAGGGACATGTGTAGGCATGCGTGTGTCCACTTCAGCCCACAGAAAGTCACTTGGTGGACCAATGAACCACGCTTGGAGTGGGTCAGGGGGCACACACAGTGTGGTGTTGGTTAGAATGTTGGGGAGATGGTGACGCAGATTCGACAAGGAGGCCATAAAGGCTGGCCGAGACCAGTGGCAAAGAGCCCCTTGTGCCTGGCTGGGGGCGCACTTCACACTGACAGTGGTGGCAGGCCCACGAGGGTTTTTGGCAATGAGTGATGCTAGGAGGCTGTGTTAGGACAGTGATGCTGAGGCCTTCCTTACCACGGGGTGGGTGACGTGTGGGGGAGGTGGGGCAGGTGGGAGAGAGGTGCCTCGCCAGGCCTGGGAACCCCTACCCCCTTCCCCTCCTCGGGCAGCCTCATTCCGGCAGCCTTCAGCCAGCCCGGCTGCCCGGGCAACCCTTTGGATGCCCGCTTTGGAACCAAGGCTGGAGGCCCTGACTCAGACACCCCGGGGAGTAACCTAGCCCTGTGTCACTGGGAATGCCATCAGGGTGTGAGGGTTTCGGGGGGTGGCGAGGCTGGGCAGCGGGTGGACTTTAGTGAGCGTAGGAATCGCACCCTCAGGTAGGCTTTCTCCAGGGCAGCAGTTGAAAGACCCAGAAGGAGCACTGCAGTGGGAATCAGGTCCTAGGTCCTTATCCTGGCCATGCCAGCTTTCTTTTCCCAGACCTTGGTTTTCCCTTCTGTTTAATGGGGACAGCATCCTTATCCTCACCTCTCTGGGCATGTGGTGGCAGCAGATGCATGTGGGTAGGAAAGCTCTGTGGAAAGGGGTCAGGGATGGAAGGAGCGAAGAGAGCGGTCTTAGCCTCTTCCCAGGAGAAACTCAGGGAGCCGTCAGGGAGGCCCCCTCCTCCATGCAGGCTCAGGGTTGAGCCCAGGAGGCCTCGGCAGTCACTGAGGCTGAGCGAATGACTCCCACCCTCTGGCACTGGACTGGCATCGGCAGGGTGTGGTACTTGGGCCTTTAATGGCTGCTGGGGTGCACAGCGTCCTGGGAGATGACAGAACCAGTTGTGGGGGCTCAGCTGGAGATAGAGTTAGCTGGCCCAGCTTGGGAGAGAGCCCGTGAGGGCTCAGAAAAATGGGTGGGGCAGCCTGGTCCACTGGGATCACCTGTAAGGGACCTGATGAGGCCCAGACTGGGTGGGTGAGAACTGGCCTGACCCCAGGCCATGAGTCTCTCGCTGGGCGAGAGGAATCCAGTGTGCTCAGGGCTGTGTGGGGGCCAGGGGAAGTTGGGGAGGTGGCGCTGACACGCCCTGAGTGGTGGGGAAGCCAGTGGCCTAGGCAGGCTGCTGCGGTGGGGGGTCGGGGTGGGGGGGAGTTGGTGCATAGAGCTGAGGTGAGCTGTGCCCAGGCCTGGAGGGCTGGCCTTTCTCCCTGAGACAGGGGTGTCTTGACAGCCAGCCCCTCCGTAGGGAACCAGGGGGCCGGTCTTAAGGCTTTTCTGTCTTGTTTCCTGGGCTCTGGCTGCCCTGTTCCGGAGAGGCTGGTGGGGTGGGGTGGGGCGGGCTCGGGGCCCCCAGCCCTGATTCTCCCTCTTTGCACGTGGTGCTTCTCCATCTGGGAAGGGATCTCACCAGCTCAGAGGAGGGGCCTTTGGCCAGGGGAGAGGACCAGGGAGAGTGGGACCCCAGAAGCAAGTGCCCCATCTGCCCAGTCCTAGGTGACAAATGCCCCTAGCTGCTCTGCCTCGCAGGGTCACTGCCCACAACGATCTTGTCTACTGCTGGCTCCTGGGGGTTCAAGGAGCTGTAGGACCTGACCCTGCCCTAACCAAATAGCCAAGGCCTGCCCCCCTACCCTGCCCCTGTCAGTCTTGGCCTTTCCTCCCTCTCCTCACCCCCCCAAGCCCAGCCCCGCCTGCAAAGCCTCCCTGCTCGCCTCTCTGGGGAAGTGTGAGAGGCACAGAGTGTCCCCTTCCAGCCCAGTCCCTCCATCCCCAGCTTCAGGGAGAAGGGGGCGGGGCCCACGGCACTGGCTTCTGCCCCTTCCATCCACTCCCACCCACCTGCCCAGCGTCAGGGTCTCTGGATCCCTGTGTAGCTGGGGCAGCTCCAGTACTCACAC